GAAGAGAATGTTAGAGATGATGTTTTGTATTAGCAGTTTGGTTAATAATCATTGAAAAATGTCAAAGCTATGCATCACATATTAGCAGAGAAATCAGGTAATATATTTACTTGAATAATTAGCCCAGTTTGTTATTTAGAGGAACATAAAACCAACAGGCTAGTCACAATTCAGTGTCGTCGTGACAATTTTTTGACTTTCAACTGGTTTTACCGGTATGATATAAACAAAATCAGAATGATGTCACCAGTTTGAAATTTGTTTCACCAGTTTGTTTTCCATTTGTAGTGTCATAGATTTAAATGCTTGACCCTCAATATAACATCATGCCAGAATTACTACTCCCAGAAATGACCTCATCTGTTTCTGCCTATCTATAAAGTTGAGATTTCTCCTGACAATAGGGTTCACTTTCTGCATTATTTTTCACTTTTTGTTGCTAGGGTCCCCACTTCTGGAGAAGAACGATGAAGAAGGGGGAAAAAGAGTCTTAGAGTTGTTTTTTGTGGATCTATGCTTAGAGTAATAGAATTGGCAGGAGGGCATCACTAGAAATGTAATTAGACAGTTATGAAATCCAGCTCAGAATCTGGACCCCTGCAACAAGCATAGCAAGTTGTCCAGACCACTGGTAAAGACCAAGCCACGAGCAAGAATATATGTAGCCCAAGTCTTGGCGATAATGGGAGAGTCCCTGGCAAGAGCAGCTGGACAAGATTCCCTCTGTAGCATCAACAAATGTGCGAAAATATTCAGAACTGCTCATGAGTAGCTTGTTGAGTTAACAGAGAAGAAACTCAAAGGAACTGAGTTCCAGGCACACAGAAAATCTCCAGGCACTCAGAACTCTCATGATTTGTTCAATCGCTGACTCACGAGGCCCCTCACATGTTTACCAAGTGGTCTTTTCCCACGAACACTGTTGACCTTGACTATGAACCTTTACAATTGACTCTGTCGTTGAGTCACAACCAGTTCTTTCCTCTTCCCCAGGAACTTTGAATCTAAGCAAATCTCCTGGGATGTCCTATGTTGGACTCAGAACTTGAGTGATCACCTTGGTTTGATTTTCTTAGGAGGGGATCTTGATTGTTAGTGAGCACAAAATAGTAGAGATCTCAATGTCATTGTGGTCCTGGGAGGCAAAAGGTCCCTTAAAATCTCTACCATAATTTCATTTTCTAATGCAGTCCTTGTGAAACAAGCAAATTTGTTTAGGGAACTAATGAGCAGACTGAGGACTCTTACCACTGGAAAAAATATGACACCACTCAGGGTAGGAGATAGTAAAGATCCCTTATATCATTTGTCTATACCTTCGTATGACTCCTGTATATTCTGCCTTGCACTGATGGCTGCCTTGTATGTCTGCTTTATCTACTCAACTAGATTATTTAGCCCTTTGAAGGCAGGAAGAAAATTGTGTATTATGTTTATGTCTCCTCCCCCAGTTCCTTCACAAGTCCTTCCATAATGGGCATTTGTTGGACTGCTAAATGAGGCAGGATAAGATCAGAACATCAAGAAAGAGTCTTTATGAGGCCGACACCACCCTAAGCCATGTGGCACATAACTACAGAAACAGGAAGATACAAAACTCTGGCATTCAATCCGAGCATGCCTAGGTTGTTAGGATGCCCATAGCAACACTCAAACATATTTGACAAATGAGAGGCAGTATAGCACGAGCCGGATTTACCAGGCTCAGCTCTCTCAGTTGTATGACTTTGGGCAAGTTAATTCCCCCGGCCATGCCTCAGTTTCATCATGTATAAAATGGAGTTGATAGTAGCAAATACCTGCACATAGTAAGCACTACGTAAGTGTGCTCTAAAACAGTTCACTGATAGGACCAGCAGAAGTGGCACAAGCATAGGGCAGTAAGGCAGTACTGAAGGAGCCCAGAGCCATATGGGAAGGACTGGGATTCAGAGCCCAAGTTGAACTAAACATGCCGGGCATGCCCACCGGTGCACCTGTGATCCTGGCTGACTGGAAAGCTGAGGGGAGGATTGTATTCTGGAAAGACCTTTTTTTGGGGTCTTTGTTTTTCTCTTTCTTGTTAAATAAATAACTAAATCTCACAGATAATAATGAATTTAGACTAGACCATACATTCTCAACCATGGAAAAATTGCCCCTAAGGGGGTGAAAACTGGTTATCTTTTGGTGTGTGTGTGTGTGGAGGGGGGGTGGCAACAAAACTTAGATAATACAATGATTTGTGGCCCTCTGAAAGGACATAGATTTTTTTTTTTTTTTGAGAGAGAGACTTTTGACACAGGTTGCATGCTCTAGCCAGAGAGACAAAAAACAAGAAATCACCTCCCCTGGGAGGATGGCCATGCCACAATCCTCTCTTCTTTATTCTCGTTGGGATCGTGGGCAGACATACATGTGTGCCCAGCGTAAAATTTAAGTTGCCAGTTTTGGGATTTGAACCATAGTTGACTACATGGAAGCCCAGCAACATAAACATTATGCAACCTGCTGGTCCCAAGGACACAGAATTTAAGCAGATGTAAAGTATATCCATGGTGCCTACAATCTAATAGAGAGAATTAGAAAAAAATGTTTAAAAAGGTACAATGGAGGATGAGCAATAATGTTAAAAAAATTGACGAACACTGTACAAGATGAATAAATGATAAGGTTAGCTCTATTATAATCAATCATATATCAAACATTTTTGAGAGATTTTTGCTATAGGGTACATGTACTCACCAGAAAGACAAAAAGAGAAAAATC